GTGCTTTAACAGCCCTGTAGATACATCTCACTTGAGTAAAGACATATTTATACATGTTTTGATCTGAGTCTGACTGAGATCTTAGCTCTCATCTGGGTTTTCTCCCTCAGGGTTTCAGTGGAGCCATGAGAAAAACAGAGGCGGTGGAAGGTGAATATCTCTTGGGGTCACTGGTCTGTGCTCCTGAGGAGAACATCTAGAACCAAGGAGGTTGTGTCAACTAAAAAGGTTAATTGATTGTAGCCAAACAGAAAGGGAAGACAGTCTGTCCTTCCTGGTTTTATTCTTCCTCGTTTCTGATTCCATTCTCTCCAAAACTATAAGAGTTTGCTGCTAAGAGGCAAGGAAGATAGTTTCAAGGCCTACATGTGTTTCTTCCCAGGATTGTGATATTGGGCAAATCATGCTGCCACACAGAGCCTCAATTTCCTTGTATACAAGATAGGAATTTTATAATAGATATGAAGCATTCAGGACTGGTACCTACATAGTTTTCTATAAATGGATCTAGGGTCCTTGTTCTCTGGCATATGGTAAGGGACAGCTGAGACAGTCATAGGTGTTCCCCGTGTGATAATAAGATAGTACACATGAAGCCACTTTAAAAATTCAAAGAGTGAACTACTGGCTTTTGATTGGATAGAGGTGGCTACAGACATCCAGACATGGAGCATCCTTGCGGTGGCCACTCATGAGGACCAGAAAAGACAATGATCAAAGGAGCTGGCAAGCCATTGCAGAGCCTCATTGGCCCTCATCTTAGCTCACATTACTTTTGAGGTGGCCAAATTTGTGCCTTCAAAGCTAGTCACCTGTCTGTCAGCAACCTTCCTCTTTCATAGTGTGAATTTATCTGTTTCTTTGTAAGATTCTGTGGTCTCACAGGAGATCCTGGAAACCTCACTCATGCTTGTGATTCTGGGACATATAATCATTAAATGTCTGCAAAGCTGTCATCATTCATAATATTGGGAAACTGAGGCTCAAAGGAGAACAAGGATTTGTTCAAGAACACTGTGGTGGCTTGAATAGGTATGATCCTCATAGACTCATGTGTTTGAATGCTTGGCCCATAGGGAGTGGCACTAGTAGGAGGTGTGGCCTTGCTGGAAGAAGTGTGCCACTATAGGGGCTTTGAGGTCTCTTAAAAGATGCTCAGGCTACACTCAGTGTAAAACACAGTCCCCTTCTTTGCATCGAGATGTAGAACTTTCAGCTCCTTCCCTAGCACGTCTGCCTGCATGCTGTCATGCTTCCTTCCATGATGATAAGGACTAAATCTCTGAAACTATAAGCTAGCTCCAATTAAATGTTTTCTTTTATAAGAGTTGTTGTGATTATAGTGTTTTTTTTTTCCCACAGCAATGGAAACCCTATCTAAGACAGACACTTTTCATTCTGAGAGAGAATCAAAGTAGAATCCAGGTTTTCATTAAGAGTTGTAAGGCCATGGGCAAGAACATTTAGCTGCACAGGGCTGCTAGAACAGGAAGGGCCTGCTTTGACAAGCATGGGGCAAAAGTCATATTCTTCTTTATTGTTTTTTGAAGACCAGTATATGGGCAGGACTCAGACTTAGATTCTAATTGAATAAACACTATTGTCCAACCTACTGCTGAATCAAATTTGAGCAAAATGCTTTGATGTCGACAAAGCTATAAAGGTATTCTGGCTACAGTTAATACCCTGTGTACACACGTTGAAATAGCATGTGAACACCACTGAGATGAAAAACAAACACACATCAGTAAAAAAATATAGCCCTTAAAATGGCTTGTGGATCCCGTCAGCAGCCAACGTGCTTGTGAGCATTTATTAGGCTGTTTAAATGTGCTGTGTCTCATACAGAAAAGTGAGCCTCTTGGGCAAGCTGGGAATGGCTTGGAAATTTCCACTCTTTCATCTACACATCCCAACAGGCTATGGTCGCCTCAAAGATGGGCAGTTTGAATAGCCAGGTTTTCATATAAATATCTTTTCACTCCTTAGCTCCAGTTTATAGTTCTAAACTCCCAGTCTACATAGAGACTAATGTCCACTCTTCGTCACTGATTTCGGGGAAAATTTGAATATTTCTATTTCATTTACATACATATTCCCCTTTTTAATATAGATTTTTGGTCTCACATAATATATCTTTATTACTTTATTATTTCCCGTCTCTCTATTCTCCCAGCTCTTCCTCACCTCCCCTTCCATCTGGGTCCACCCCTTTTCTGTTTCTCATTAGAAAATAAACAAGCTTCTATGGGGTACTATAAAATATAAAAAAATAAAATAGAAGATAGAACAAAGCTAATACACCAGAATTGGATAAAACAAACAAATGGAAAGAAAAGAGCTCAAGAGAAGGCACAAGAAATAGAGGCCCACCCATTTGCACATTCAGAAATCCCATAAAAACACTAAATTAGAAATCACAATATGTTCACGAAGAACCTGGAAGGTAAGAAGAGAGAAGAAAATATATAAAGTTAAATTAAAATTAATAAGATAAAAATTTTAAAAAGGAAGAGCCCAGACACAACATTATGAGACAAGGAACCTCCAAGATGCTATTGAGTTCATTTTCTGTTGGCCGTCTACTGCTGGCATGCAGCCCACCCTTAAGATTAGTTTGTTTCCCCAGTGAGACTGCCTTGGAGGAAACTAAACTTTCATTTGCAAGTGGTTACCAATTGGAGATAACTTTTGGGTTAGAGATGGAGCATGTGTCCCAACTGGTGCAGAATCATACAGGCCATGCACATGCTGCCTTTGTCTCCTGAGGTCATCTGAGCTTCGATCTTGCTGTCCTCCATCCCCCTGGCTCTTATACCCTGGATCCCCTGAGCCTTGAGGGGAGAGATTTCATGGAGACATCTCATTCTCAACATACTGTCTGTCTGTGGCTCTCTGTATTTACTCCCATCTGCTACAGGAGGAAGCATCTCTGATGATAGCTCAAAAAAACATTGATCTGCCTCCCTGGCTGGGGCCTACACACACAGACACACACACACACACACACACACACACACACACACACGCGCACACACACATACACACACAAGGGATACATATATATCATTATTTAGTATTTTTATTTATGTGTCTGTGTGCATGCTTACATGAATTTATTTGCATTGTGTGTATAGGTGCCTGTGGAGGTCAGAGGGAATGGAATTTCTTGGAAACAGAGTCACAGGCAGTTGGGAGTGACTTAATGAGGGTGCTGGGAACTGAACTCAGGTCTGCTGCAAGAGCAATATTGCTCTTAGCTGCTGAAAAATCACTCCAGCCCCAAGAGATTCTTAATGTTAACTCAAAACATAAAAGATTTTTGCTGAGGCAGGAATTAAACTGACACAGATTTCACGGTTTTTCTGTACTTTTTGTGGCGAATCAGCAGTTCATAGCAGTGGAGTTGGGAGCAGGAAGAAGGGGACCCGCTGGAGTAATTCAGACACTCACAGATTTATGGAGTGCCTGGTTTGAGCAAAGCATATCTGCCAGTCCCTAGCTCTGATCTTGAGAAAATCCTTTCCTGTTTCTTGAGCAGAATTCTGTATCTAGCAGGAATATAATACTTGCTCATGATTCACGATATGAATGCTATGAAGCAACTACCCAGAAATCCATCGTGCATTAGATGGACACTTCCCAAATCTGCTGTTATGGCTTTTAAATCATAGTGCCCGGTACCCAAATCTTGAGGTGATGGGCGGGGGGGGGGGGGTGCCTTTTTACCAAATAGCAGTCCAATTGTCACACACTTGGGAAACCCCATTTGAGGCCTTTGACTTGGTGAGGTATGAAGCCAGAGATGTGGGTGGGGTTGTTCCTGGTTCTGGATTGCCAGGACCCACCAGCCTCTTCCCAGAGCCTGTACTTACAAGAATTGTGCTAAGCAACGGGAATGCGGCAGACAGCTCCTGGTGGCATGAGTACTGTAACTTTACCTCTCTAGACCTCTTCCTGGGTGTATAGACCAGAAAACCTGGGTCCAGGTCCCAATTACAGAGGGCTGACTCCAAGATACAATTCAAACCAGAAAAACAAAAATGCTATGCTGAGTACAGAACATTCATTTTTTTAGAGATTGAAACTGTATTTAAAAAACTTGACCTTCAACACTGCCATAAGACACGTGTACTGAAGCTGAGAAAACACTGTAACTTCAGCAACACATACTGCGTTCAGTTTGCCATAGTCCTAACGGTGCCTTTTTGCCTCTCTCTTAGTCGCCGCCATCCACTGCAAGTTTGCAGCCTTTTTGGCTTCTGTGGGCACCTGTTATAGTTTGAATATAAAGTATCTCCTACAGGATCAGGTGTTGCCGGCTGGTTGTGCTATTCTTTAGAAATTATGGAAGTTTTGGAGAAGGGACAGCAGGAGGAAGTGATCCACTTAGGGCAGCTCATTGGGGTTGTCTTGTCTCTGGCCTCTTCCTGTGTCCCTTTCTCTACCTCCTACTTGTTGTGGTAAAACGTCCCACCATCACACATATCTGCCATAAACCCTCTGAAACTGTAAGCTCAAACAAACCTTTCCACAACGTTTTTTTCCAAATTTTAAATTTTTATATTAATTACAGTTTTATTCACTTTGTATCCCAGCTGTAGCCCCCTCCCTCATCCACAACTTCTTTAGGTTGGGTGTTTTATTACAGCAAAGAGAATGTCTGACCTATGGGACATCTGTATGTAAGAACCCTAGCTTAGTGGACCCTAAGAGTCTTTTTAACTTCTGTCATCCTGTGAGCATGAAGTCTATTAAGATGATTTTCTCAGCACAAGTGTTAATCATTACCTGCTTCCTATGTAAATCAGAACAGGAAAGTCCTGCTTGGCTAATTCTCTGAAAATTTTGCCTTGATGTTATTCTTGATTTCTCTGGGTCCTGTGTTTTGCCTGTCCAGCACCTGTCCACTCACGGGAAACACTGCCTGATCCCTTTGTGAAGTTCTCTGAGGCCAGAAGCACCTGTGGACATCCAGACAGTTCAGGCTGGCCAACCAGATGAGTGGGGATCGGGTGCACCCAGGACAGGCCCTAATCTGGGTCATCTGGATCTTTGCAGCCATCATCAGGGGTAAGATGGCTGGTGGGAGATGAGGTTGCTCAGGCTGTGGGAGATGGGTAGGGTTTTCTTAATCCAGTACCTTAGGCCACTTTGGCTGTGCTACCTTGACAGTGTAGGCTTTTCTAGCAGGGGAAATGAACCTCTTTCCCTGAGGTCTTGGGGGACCCATGGAGTGGTGTGTAGACCTTGAGTTCTTTACACCCTCTAAAGAAAGGCACTATCCTGGGCACTGGGGAGACATGTGGACTGGAGCCTGTACTCTAAGGTGTTGCCTGTGGAGACAAGACTTGCCCAAATGACAGAGCAGGTGATGCCAAGATGCCTGGGTCCTGCCAGGTAAGGAATTCAAGACCTTATACTCTGCAAAACTCAAGATGCTTACATGCCTGTGAACCCAACTCTTGGATGTGGAGGAGCTGATTTCAGCTGCCATTATCATGAGCATTTTCCTTTTACATTCTCACTGGTACACATTCATTTTCATATGTAGCCAAGGCAACTGCCAAACTCATCCAAACCACAACTCTGTAGCTATCATTGCTCAGGAGTCTTCTAGGATAAAATTTAAAGGTAGTTTATTTGGTTATAAAAATATAGCCATCTGGCAACTTCAGACAATGACTGACATGTGGTGGTTTTGTGGTAATGGATAGTGTAGGGGACTCAGCAATCAATATGGCAGGGTCCTGGCATCCACAAGTTCCAAAGAAAGGGATAACTTTGGTTAGAAGAGAATCGCCTCCCCAAGTTGTTGGGTGTGGTGGTGGACTTTCAGCAGCAACTGAGGCAGCCTCTGTGGTGGTATTCTTGCAAACAATCCTGAAAGGAGAGGACCTTGTTTAACAAGAGGGTCCCAGCTACTATGGCCTCTGAGTGGACAAAGAGCCCCAGAATGGCTGATCGTCTTTCTCTTTCCAACCATCTCATCCTCGGTCCTGCCTTGTGTTTCTCCAGGGTCTGTGACTGAAGAGCTGAAAAGGTATACCAGGCTGGGATGGGTGCAGGGGAAGCAAGCCACCGTGCTGGGCAGACTTGAACCAGTGAATGTGTTCCTTGGGATCCCCTTTGCTGCACCCCCCCTGGGACCACTGCGGTTTTCCAGTCCACAGCCTGCAATCCCCTGGAATGATTTGCGAGAAGCCACTACCTATCCCGATCTGTAAGTCTCAGGTGGCTTGTGTCTCCAGGAACTGGGAGTTACTGTTGAGGGAGAATGTAGGTCATGAAGCCCAGGGGCAGAGGAGAGGGAAGGGACATGGAAGTGGGAGAACCTCAGGTGAGTGTTTATGTGACTTAGGGCTCCCCTGCTGGCTGCCCAGCAGAGTTGTTGGAGGGTTGTTATATATGTACCTCTTCCCTGATCTGTTCTAAACTTCCAGAATCAGACTCTTCAGAGCATAGGCCAAGAATTTGAGTGATCTGAAAGATACCTGGGGTTCCAGGCCCCGAACAGGTATAAGAAGTGCAATGTGTTTCTGTGTGACCCATTACCCTGGGCTAACCTTTGTGGTCAGTCTGGATTAGGGTTTTAGAGAGCAGAACCACAGTGAGAGCGCACACGTGTTTGTGTGTGTGTGTGTGTGTGTGTGTGTGTGTGTGTGTGTGTGTTTGTTTGTACATGCTTAACTCAGTTGTGTCTAAGGCAAGGCTAGGCCCACAGTGAGAACTCCATAAATGCCTGTGTGCTGACAGCATGGCTGCAGCCTTAGTCACTCTTCTAGTCTTTGTGCCCAAATTCTGACAGGAAACAACTTAAGGGAAGAAGGGCAGAGTTTGGTTCATAGCTTGGTCCATAGTTGAGATATAATTCATCATTGTAGGGCAGGCACAGCAGAGTCTGTGGCTGCAGGAGACTGAAGCTGGGACTCCTCACGTCTGGGCAAATGAGGAAGCAGAAAACAGGCTCCTCTCCTCTCTTTTCTTCACTGTGAGACCTGAGCCCGTAAGTCACAGCCTAGGAGATTGCAATTTCAGTCTGGTTGACAATGATTATTACCCATCGCAGAGGCCTCAGTGACACAAGAGGCTTGGGAGGCAAGCAGCTCCCAGCCAGTGAAGAGTTTCAAGGCTAGTCACCAAGTTAGTTGTGGAAGAGTGATAGAATGTTGTGTGGGATAGTGAGACTTGAAGATCCCCGAGGATGTCCAGTTCCTTTGTGAAGTTCTTAGGTTGGTCACTTGGCTTCTAGGCATTAGGGGTCCAGGCTTTATAGAGTACCTTGGAACCAGGACCGAAAAAGATGACTTCATGCGGCTCACATGTGGGCTGGAAACAATATGACAAAAGTCATTAGTTGGTTTATTTATTTGTTTATTTGTTCAACTCATTCAGAACCAACTCCAGAATCTGATATCATTAGGTCTTGGGCATTTCCACAGTGAACTAATGAGATTCTTCAGTTTACAAAGGGATTATGATTTTGTAAGACATTGTAAATTGAAAATGTATTCCTACCTTACCTATCCTGCCTTACACCATCCCCCAACCATAGAATACATGGATATGTGCCCCTATGACACTATGGCAATTCACCTACACACCCAAACATCTCAAGTACTGGCCCACAGGAAGCTTACCCAGATAAAGATCAAAACTCAGCATTTGCTTTCTGGTTTCTATGGATTTCTGGTTTCTATGGATTTCTGGTTTCTTATTGATTTTTTAATGTTATAAAGATGATAAAAACAGAAGATCATTGTGTGTGTTGGGAACTGTCATCACGGCCTCCCTCAAGAAGCATGTAGACCAGTAATAATGGAGGGCAGAGAAAAATGATTGATAATTAAAATGTAAGGAGTCAAAGCAACCACCAGGGGTCAGGGAAGACAACTCAGAAAGAGCAGAGAGCTAGCTAGCTCAGTTTTGAGAACAGCTCAGGCATGCCCCTGTGGAAAGCAGTGAGGCCTGAATTTATGAATGACAACGTACCAAAGGAGCCAGGAGCATAAACACCCAAGAAGAAACATATTTCAGTGGTGGTTTCTCATTGTTCTGCCCACTCCTCTACCAAGAAAACAATCAATAATAACAGAGTACTTAAGTGTGGCATAAACATCCACACATATGCTTAAACCACTTCTTTTCCCTTTGGGTAAGATCAAATGTAGTATGTTCCCATTCTTCGTGTGTGCCAGACTCTGTGCCAGGGACTGGGAGGTGCAGAATTGATTACTCTAGACTCACAGGCTTGTTTAGCTGCTCATAATCGAGCTGGAGAAGATGATAATAGCACATACAAGCCTAGGGAAAGTTCTAGGGCATAACACACACTCTGTGGGTGTTTCTGAAGAAGAGCTGTGGTCACTCTGTGAAATCATAGAAGGCTTCTTGGAAAAGGGGTATTTGCACCCAATCTGAAAGCAAGGGAGGATTGGGAACCAGAACACACAGGAAGAAGTAGTCCAGGCAGAGATAGCTTGTGAAAAGCCTGGGTGCAGAAGTCTTTCTTTACCTATCTGGGTTCTTGGAGTGGAGGCTGCAGAAAGATCCCTTTGTTCCTCTGGGTATAGCAGAGAAACCACTGGGAGAAAACCTTTTCTGAGCAACTCAGTGGTGGGCATAAACTATTTTAGAACTGAGCTCTGCTACCCAGGAACTGAATTAAAGGAAATCATCATTTGTTAGTTTCTTTGCTTGCTTCTGAAAGAAGGGGACAGGGCACAATCAGATTCTGTACATGCCTCTTTGTTTAAAAGGATGGCTGGGCCCTCCCTCTGTCCCAAGAACTGGAAGGCATGCTGGCATAGATGCTGGAAAGATTATCTCTCTCTTTCTTTCTTTCTTTCTTTCTTTCTTTCTTTCTTTCTTTCTTTCTTTCTTTCTTTCTTTCTTTCTCCCTCTCTCTCTCTCCCTCTCTCTCATTTCCCTTTCACATCACTTTCCTGCCCCTTCTCCTCCCCTTCCCTATCCCCCTTCTTACCTCTCCCCCTCTCCCTCCCTCCCTCCCAGGTGCTTTCAGAGCTCAGGGTGGCTCTTCACATACCAGAGCATGCTCAAAGTGCATTACCCTAAACTCGGAGTGTCAGAGGACTGCCTGTACCTGAACATTTATGCTCCAGCCCACGCCAATGATGGCTCCAGTCTCCTGGTAAGGCTGCCTGCTGCACCGAGGAGCTGCTAGCAGGCCTAGGAACCAACTGGATGTGGGGCATCTAGAGTTAGACTTAGCCTCTTATTGGGTAAGAGGAGAATTCCATCACACAAGTAACTTTTGTTGTTGTTTGTTTTGTTTTGTTTTAATCATAATGGAAGCTGCCCTCTACCATTGTGACTGTTGGATATTTTAATGGTAGTAATTTAACTTTCAATTTTCATTTCATTTTGTTTTTTCCCCCTCTCTGGTAAGAGTTAAAATTGTCTGTGCAACTTAGAAAACGATACATTTTAAAAAGATTGTGGTTGTTTTTTGAGTTTGAGAACCCCCTTTAAAAGAGTATAATGGAATCATTCACCTTCCCTTACCTAATTGCACAGCCAGGTACTAATGTCAAGGACTTCATTTAAGAACATAAGGAACTGTGTAGCATGAAGGAAGGAAGTTTTTTTTTTTTTTTTTTTTTTTTTATCTGTGTTTTAGCCACACCCCCTCTTTCAGCATGTCTCTGCAATGATAGAACCTTTCACAGTGCTATGGCAGCAATATTTGCCAGGTACTTACTGTGCACCAGGCACTGGGCACTGTGTCATTTAAATGCAGTGTGCAAGAGATGAGGAAGCTGAGGCACAAGGAGGGCACACATGATTGCTCTACACAAAGCCAGTGTTTTTCTGCATGGCTCTCTTCTCTTTTTCTGACTCAAGGGCTAAGGTCTCAAATAGCGAGCTGGAGAAAGAGATGGGCTTTATTATGGACTATGAAAGTAGTGACAATACCATTTGAATAGTATTTTGTGTTCATTGGTCCTAATATTTCCTGAACAAGGGAATGTTTCTATACATTTCCTTTCTGCTCCTTTTTTGCTGACAATTAAAAAAAAAAAGCCAAAGAAACCTCTTCAGCTGACATCTTAGACAAAAATCAACTTTTGGGAGAAAGAATTGATTTTGGCTCACAGTTCTAAGGGTCCCGTCTATCATGGCAGAGATGTCACAGGCTCTGCAGACCAGAGCGGTCACACTTTATCCACAGCCAGAACCAGAGAAATGAATGCCAGCGCTCACCTGGTTTGCTTCTTTCAGTTCAGCCCAGGACTCCATTGTCCTAATGTAGATAGTCTTTCACAACTATTCCTGGAAGCTAACCTAACCTAGGCAATCACTCACACGCTCACCTGGAGGCATATCTCTTAGGGGACTCTAGAGCAGTGGTTCTTAGCCTTCCTAATGCTGTGACCACCAACCATAAAATTATTTTCATTTCTACTTCATAACTCTAATTTTGCTACTGTTGTGAATAGTAATGTAAATCTCTGTGTTTTCTGATGGGCTTAGGTGACCTCTGTAAGAGAATCATTAGACCACTGCTCTAGAGCCTGTGAAGTTGACAGTTTTAACATCACAGCTTTTGCTCTTATGGAGCCTTACAATGGTTCCCTGTGGGCCACAGGCTCCATGGCCTTCAGTTCCCAGTCTCTAAGCATTTGAACTGAGTCAACACTGTTTTAAAAGCTTTAACTGTAGACTCTTCTTTGGACCCCACAGAAACCTCCTGAGATATTTATACTCTTTACAACTTTTACTTGAGTCAGGGGTCAGAGGAACCAACCCCAGGGAGTTTGAGAATCCTGTCTGTGTTCCTTCAGCCAACCCAATGTGCTTACTCAGGTGTCAGGAGTGTATATGCTTAATCCTGGGCCTATTGAAAAGGCAAGACATTGGAGCCCACTTACAAAGAAGAGTGAGACATTTATATTTTCCTCGGTTAAATAATAGTAATAATCCAACAAGCAGATTGACTGGGGGTGATTCTGTCTTCGCAGGTCATGGTGTGGATACCAGGAGGTGGCTTTGAGACTGGCTCAGCCTCCATCTTTGATGGGTCTGCCCTGGCTGCCTATGAGGATGTATTGATTGTGACCATTCAGTACCGCCTAGGGATATTTGGCTTCTTCACGTGAGTCTCTTCTGGTGAATGACACTCCAGACCACGGAAGCCCCTGTGGTAGCTGTGGGTGGTGGCCAGCTCCTTTAGGAGGCATGAACATTCAGTGGCATTGAGTAACCTAGATCCTGATTAGTAAAGCAATTTAACACATCGACATGAAACCCCTCAAATCCTAGCAGTTTAAGAAGACCTCTTTCTCATCAAGGGCTGTCCAAGTTTGTGCCCCTGAGGAATAGATGTCTTTGCACATGGTCAACCAGGGCCCTAAGACCCTTCCATCTTTCAGCTCTGATGCAGATGCTCTCAACCTGCATTTGACCAGCTATGAAGAAAGCATCGAGGGCCGGCCTGAAGATGGTGCTCATCTCTCTGTTGACATACCGTTTGGTAGAAGGCTTTCACATGTCCAATAGGGTGCAAAGGAGACAGACAGAAATGGAGCCTAGTGCTATGACCTGGAATTGTATGAATCCAATACTCTGGGACAGGCTTGATTGGGCAGGGAGTTGAATGCCATGGTGTTCATGGATTTTGCAACTTTATCTTTTGAAGACTGAGGGTCCTAGAAGTATCCCACTCAGAGAAGTGCACTGGGAAGAATACTTTAGAAGAGACTAGCGGATAGACCATGCTTGACGGCTCTACAATAAGAAATTGCGAGGCCAGTAAGGAGGCTACTGGTGTCTTATTGACTGTATGGAGGGTTGAATCATAAAAACAAGAGGTAGCAAGTGCAATGCAGTGTGCCTGGTGTCTATCTTTCCAGCAGTCCTGTAGAGTGGGTACTATTGATATCCTTAGTTTCATGAGGAATTTGTGGCCAAGTGGTTAAACGTCTGGCCCAAGGCCACCCAGATAATGATGGCCAAGCAACGAAGCCTGTGCTACAGCTAGAGAGTTTGATAATCACCAGGAGATTGCTCTCCTTCAGGGAGGAGTGGGAACCATTGTGAGACCCACCATGGAGTGAACGTTAAGTTGATAGGTGCATGGGGTGTGTTTAGTAGTGTGGATTCTTAAGCCGGAATCATTGAATCCTAATTCTTTCTAGATCTTTCTGGGAAGGAGATGTAATATCTCTTTGCCTGAACTTCACAGTCTATTTGAACGGGATGAGTTATCATGATGCCGTGCTCACAGATTTATCTGAGAGGAGCTGGCACAAGCTGTGGTCATGGGGTTAGTTTACCGCTGCCTAATCCTCTCTGCTCACCATGGAAAGAACATGGCGTGATGGTTGTATAGTCCAGTCTTTCTCTCTTTGTACTTCCTGACACATTCTGAAGCCCAAGCAATGCAGTTTCTAGAGGTCAACCTTTTTGTAGCAGGGCAAGAAAACCCAGAGAGGCTAACTGGACAATGTCTGGAATGGTTTGTCTCAAGAGCCGGCTAAGCTTCTGAGAGTATTAGTGGTACGCTCTTTGTGGCCATGTTGGGCATACCTGCTGCTTTGGGCACTGCCTTTATTGTTGCTATTTAGACAATTAAGGGGGTTGTGTCATTCATTGGAATTTCTTTGTCCAGGAAGGCCTGGCTCTAGTGGCAGAGATAGGAGTAGAATTTTTCAGGCATCCATGTATTAAGGGGAGCCCAAAACACCCTAACAGCAAACATACAATATTGTGTGTATACTTTTCTGGAGTACAGAACTTCCACCATTGTTGAGGAAATCCCAGAAAGTGAGGACTAAGCCTGGTGTCCTCAGCTCCTGTAGGACTCTGGTTCTCAATGTTCTGCCAGCTCTCGCCTGACAGAGAGCTATGGGACCGCAGGACACACAGTAGCTAATGAAGATCTCCCACTTTGCCTTTCACCCCAGCACACGGGACCAGCATGCCCCTGGGAATTGGGCCTTCCAGGACCAGCTCGCTGCCTTGCAGTGGGTCAAGGAGAACATCAAGTTCTTCGGTGGAAACCCTGACTCTGTGACCATCTTTGGTGGCTCAGCGGGAGCCATAAGCATTTCTAGCCTCGTGAGTTTTCTGCACTATTACTTGGCTGGGGGTGCGGGTGGTTAATAATCATAAAGACAAGAGATGTCACCTCTATTTGGTTGCTGCTCTTACCTTGAATACATATAACATTTTTTTTATTTCCTTAGAGTTAAAAAAGACACTTTTATCAACTCTTTCAGAATTTTATCTGTGCATGCAATGCGTTTTAATCACATTCATTCCCTTACTTCTCTCCTAAACACCAAGATCCAACTTCACAAACTTCATGTCATTTTTGTTTTGAATAACACACTGAGTTCAATTTGTGCTACTCATATCTATATGGTATGGAGTAGTCAACCGGAGTAGAACAACACAAACATTTTAAAGAATACAAATTGCTTCACGGCTAATTTTTGAGTCTGGGACACAGTTTTATTTCGTGGACATGACAGCGGTCACCAGGAGGGCTTAGGTAAATTCCTAAGGTCACATAAGGAGTGAAAATTTGAGGGGGAAAATTTCTTTGTTTGTAGCATTGAATCTATCCAATCTAGTCATTAGGACTGGTAAACACTTATTTGTAGCGGTCTCTCTCTCCTTCCTTCTCTCTCTCTTTCTCTCAAACACAGGGTAGCGGTGGCATCACACCGTGGGAACCCATGAAGGGAGAGCATCATACCTTGAACCACGAAGCAGAGAGAGATGTTGCAGTTGGGGCTACTCATTTTATTACCACTCTTTTCTGAGAACTACTTTAGTCCTTCCCAAGATCAGGGACTCCTCCTTGGTTCCTCTTTTACAGGTTTCACACTGTCTTCCAATACTGCCATCCTGGAGAGGAAGCATTCAGCATCTGGACTTTCTTAGGAGAGTCACACAAACAATAATATCATTCACTAGAAAAACTCAGCTAAAGCAAGAATAACGAAAGGCATGTAGATGCACACACAGAGTGTCCATGTCTCATTGAAAGCTGGGTACAGGCATTGTCTTTTTACAGATGGTCTGCTGCCCAAAATTTGGGCTTGTGTCCTTTTGTGTAGATCAGCTGCAGAACTCATTGCCTTTAAGTACAGTATATGAGAATTTTTATGGTTAGCATCCATTTAAACATATCGCCAAAGTAGCTTGAAGCCTGCAAAGTAGCTTTTAAGAAACTGCTCTTACACTATCACAACAGCATAGCAGGTTTTCACAGTTTTCTCTCAAAGATTTCACTCTTACCCACACCAAATTTGACAGCAATTTTGGTATTTTTTAGCAACCCATCTTTATCAATTTTTCCCTAGACACAATGCTGTCTTTTCATGTTTGAAGTCCACTGGTCTGCATGATATTCTCTTGATTGTATAGTTACCATACAAAACAAGTGCAGCTGACAATACAACTTTGAGAACACTTATATGGCTTTTGGCAATAGACTGATGCAAATTGAAATGCATGAATGTGCTAGAAAATGACTGTCCCCGAGTGGTCAGCATTTCCCTGACATGAATTAACGTGTTAATTAGAGGTCAGTTACATAGTAGTGGGTTAAGAGGGTTTCTGCTGTATTGCCCAACTACTCAAGGTAACTATGTTTACAATGTCACCTTCTAAAGAGGACTGTGCTAATCCACTTTATATGTGTGGCTTTATATGTGAGCTTGACCAGACAATGAGTGATCACTCATATTCATTACTGCTCCCACTCTAACTAAACAGATCTATGACATGGATACAGTTTTGCTACAGTGTTTCAGAGGAATAAACTGATGCCTGGGAATATTAAGTGACTTGCTAGGATGAAGGAACTAAAGGCACTAGGAGCCATGTCAGAAATGTTGACTAAATGTTCCTGAAGCCAATCGTGGAGGTACATGCCTGTAATCCTGGCACTCAGAGGCTGAAGCGGAAGGGTGGAGGGAGCCTGGAATACAGAGTAAGACCCTATCTTAAAAACAGAAAATAATAATAAATAAATGGGGACTCACAGAGGTGAAATAACCCATTTAAGCCTCTATAGCTAGTCCTTAAACTCCCAAGCAGGGCTCTTCAGCCCAAAGCTTGGATCCTGAAGGAGCCTCCTGTATGCTGTCTTTAAGAAACGGATGGATGGCATGTACGAAAGGTGTGGTTCTGGGATAACTGCTGCTGTGTCTCCTACATTCTCCTTTCAGGTTCTGTCTCCTTTGAGCAAGGGCTTATTCCACAGAGCCATCATGCAGAGTGGAGTGGCCATCATCCCCAGCCTGAGGAGCTTTGACGATGACCTGAAACATGATGTGGGTACACTGTCCATATCTGTCCTTTTCCCCCAAAGCCACAGGCCTTCTGGCTTCTCATCATATGCTTAGATTTCCTTACTGACCGTGTACAAAGAACCTGATGCTAGGCCAAGGGCAGTTTTGTGCCTGTCTGGAAGGCCTGTCCAACAGGAAAGGGTCCAGTTACACAGCACAGCATTAGCGTTGTGCCCAACTGTGTACGTACACACGTCAGAGGGAAGGAGCCCAGTCACACAATGCAACATTACTGTTGTGTCTGAGTGTGCACATGGGTGTTATAGCTCTTAAATAATTTTTGTGGGAGCACAAGCCAGTCCCAGTTATTCTGAGCAGTTGATCTGTGCCTGCCATGCTACCCTAGGGTTCAATGTTGAGAAAGAGTCTGAGGCTATTTGCAGCTCTTTGGGGTAGGATGCAGTAGCCAATGAAGTTTAGGGAATGAAGGGGGTGCGTATCCCAGAGATTTGTCAGCCTCTGAAAATTATTCATCTAGTGCTGCATTTTTAATTTCTTTTCCTCCCTCTCTCCCTCCTTCCTGCCTTCCTTCCTTCTTTTTCTGGAGGTGAATATCTCACTATGTTGCCTAGGCTGCTCTCAAATGTCTAGGCTGAGGAGATCCTTCTATCTCAGTCTCTAGAGTATCTGGGACTACACTTGTGAAACCCTTCATTGAGTTCATACGGTACATTTTCTTAAACATGATGTAGAAAATAGCACCCCCCAAAGCGTAAATAGTGTCATACAATTATGAACTAGCCTCAGGATAGATGAATATGGATTTTGGTAACACTCAATACAAAGCTACTTTTACCCCCAAAGCATTTATTGAGTTCACGTGGCCTCTCGGTGCTGTATCAGGACTCATAGCTTTATCAGTGGAGAAAGTAGACACACTAGAGAAGACCACGATGTTTTTGTTGCAGAGGATATTACTAGAAGTCCCACGTAGACTCTATATGCTGGCCCTGTGTGCAGCATTGTGGACATTGCAGTGGACTGGAGCGACGTCCTAGAGAATGCAGGACTTGAGCCTCAAATGAGAGAAAAAAGTAAACAGAAGCAAATGCAAAATTGTAATTGTGAAATGAAAAAAAGTAATATTAATATCTTTAGAGATAAAGGACCTAGAGATTTCTAGCCATGTGGGGCTGATGCTTAATCAGTACAGGTAAAATCCCAGGTCCTGCCCTGGCTGATGACTGGAGTGTATAAAGCTATTCCTCACTCTTGAGGTTCCAGCTCTATTGAGCACCCCAAGATCAGAACCTCATGGCAAGTTGTAGCTAAGTCCACAGGACTGGTATATCAGCAGCTACGAGGGAACCCTGATTCCAATACAATGGTAACCCCTTTCTCCCAGCTCTGGCAGCCACTGGAGTCAGCTAGTGGTTGCCAAAAAGCTAACGTCAGGGTAGCAGCAGGGACCTACAGAGTCAAGTTGCATGCTGGACCTCACACAGACAGACCACCTGTGGCTGGTGGTGAGGGCACTTTCCAGACTTTAGTGTTCCTGGGTGCATTCGGTACCACTGTCTGCCTGCCTTCTCTGTCAACAGTTGCAGGTGGTTGCCGACTGCTGTGATAGCAATGTGTCAGACTCCCAGGCTTTGCTGAAGTGCCTGAGAGAAAAGTCTTCCAAGGAGTTGCTGATGCTTGGCCAGGTGAGGAGGAAGGGTGAAGCTGGAGGTGGGTAGCTCAGTAGAAGCTGAACATTCTATCCCTTTCGTTTGTTTTGATTGGAGACTTTGACAAGAGAAGGTCAGTATCTGAATGATGTGGGGATTTGGACTCTTACAAATGACTTAAAGGACATGGTGGGATAGGAAAATCACTCAGGTTGGGCTGTTGCTTGGACATTGAAGGCATCACCCTGAGAAGAGGGCCATGCTTGTGCCACATGGCCCTGAAGCTCAAGTCAAGAGCAAGGGCTGAGGGTTATGACTAGAAGTAATTTTTGTTTTCTTGTTGTGACAAAATATTCTCAAATCTCAATTTCCTGCAAAGGAATGGGCAGAGAGATGCCTCCTGCTGTAGGCATCCGACCAAGGTGTGGCCGGCACTGGTGTATTTCCACCATCAGATGGTAGCTGGACTGTTGGTTTTAATGGACCTTCCAGTCTTGAGGCTCTGCTGGTCCTTGAATGAGTAAGATCGTTACTTATCAGACTCATGCTCATAGCTACTCGGCATGTGTAGAATATTTGCTTTCTGGAGTCTTAAAGTGGGTAATAGTGATGCACCATTGTAAGCTCTTGTATGGCCCCTTCTATCTAATTCACGAAAAAAGACACCCCCCCCCAAAAAAAAAGAAAACATGATCAGGGCCAGTGAGAATGCTCATCCAAAAATAGTGTTTAAAGTCTGACGACCCGTTTCAATGCCCAGAACCTACCTAAAGATGAAAGGAGAAAACAATTCCACACAGGGGGTCCTCTGGCCTCCACACAAACACTGTGGCATGTGCATGCCCCAGCTTTCAATATCACACACACACACACACACACACACACACACACACACACACACACACAC